GTCACAGATTACACTTGTTTGTTAGCTTATTGTCTTTCTGTTGGAGGGTGATCTCCACGAGGACATGGCTGGAAGGGGATGCGGCCGCACAGTCAGTGCTCGTTTACGATTCAGCAGGATGACTTCTGCCGAGTCACCTGTCTAATTTCTCACATCTCCAGCCACAGTCCACTCTGCGGACTCTACTCTTGCCCGGCAGGCGCGCTCAGGTGTCCTTTTGGTGGCGAGCGCACCTGCGGCCCGGCTACCTCTCTGCACGGCTCTCCCACCTATAGCCAGACCCGCTCGTGACAAGCTGTGGCCTTTTGATCGTTCACTCCGGGCATTCTCCTGAAACCACTCTCCTTAAGGCTAGCAACGAAGGTTCCCACAAAGTGTTCCTATCTGTCTGAAATCCCTCCAACTTGCAACAATTTGCTTTTTTTTTTTTTAATTTAAGGTTTTATTTTGTTAAGTCATCTCCACACCCAGCGTGGCGCTCGAACTTACAACTCCAAGATCAAGTGTCGTGCACTCTGCTGACAAGTTTTCAGTTGTCCTCCCTTTTAGAATTCTCTTCCCAGTTGTCCATATTTCCTAGCCATGTGTGATGAAATATGCAGGACCAAAGTGGCACGGTTCCTGGGATCTGCTGTGAGATACTTCACTGAAGTCACCACACGGCAGGGGTGGTCAACACCATCGATTGTGGCCGGTCATCACTGACGAGATGTGGAGGCTTCGTTATGACTTGGTTTTTTGCGAGTGTTTGCAAGATTTTGTCAAGCCAAACCACGAGTGCACGCTCATGCTCCATCGTTAATGACCTCTGACCTGCCCCTCCTGCCCTCCCCCCCTTGCCACCCTCACCCGCTGCCCTCCCCTCGTTCTCTCTCTCCAGTCTTCCCTGGACACTTCCCGCCCTGTCCTGACTTCAGTGACCATCCTGGGTCTCCAAGTCCCCACAGCCCGGTCGGTCTCCCTCAGGCCCTGGTTCCGAATCCCCAGTGACCTGCACCCTCCCCCAGGTGCCCTCCGTGCGACATTGTCCTCTCTCGTGGGCCCTGGACCTGAAACACTGGTCACACGAACTCTTCGTTCCCTGCCCCTCCTCCAACCCACCATTGGGTCCGCCCTCCTTTCCCAAAGTCACGTTCCCCCGCCCATTTCTCCCTTAGGCGTCCTTACTTCTTGCTTGAATTACAGCAAAACCTTGGATGGCGAGTAACTTGTTCCGCAAGATAAACATTTTTAATAAATTTTAATTTGATAAACGAGCAATGTCTTGCAATACAAGTAGAACGTGCCACTGAATGTCACATGATCACAACTGAGCCAATGGTTCTTCTCTCTCTCTCTCTGCGGGATTGTGGATGATCATCTCCCGTTCTTGGATGCTCCGTCTCAGGCCATGGCGTTTGGCAGAGATCAGTGATTTTTCAGGACGTTGGAAGGTGCCCACAACTGGCACTAGTATTTTTTTGTCACTTCAAAGCACATGGACAGTCTTTTGCTTTTCCAGACAAGAGAAGCCTAGGAATGCTCGCTTCATTCTAGGTCAGCTGCCTGCAGATAGAGACCCTTTCCTCTGCTGTCTTGTTGCCAGTGACATTCAACACAGTATATGACAAGAGTTTATTAATACCGTCCTGTAGTCAAAATCCGCTAGAGTGAAAATCGTCCTGTGCAATAACCCTCCTCTCTCGTGTCTCCCTCACACCAGCCCTGTAAGTGCAGGCTAATTTATTTTTCTTCACAGTTTGTATTTTCTGTATTATTTTTTTATTATATTGCAGTAGTGTAATCATTTTTATATGAATACTTTTGGGTTGTGAAACAAATCATCTGAGTTTCTGTTATTTCTTATGGGGAAATTCGCTTTGATATTCAAGTACTTTGGATTACAAGCATGTTTCTGGAGCGAGTTATGCTCGCAAACCAAGGTTTTTTTTGTTTTTTAATGTTTATTTGTTTTTGAGAGAGAGAGAGAGAGAGAGACAGTCCAGGGGAAGGGGCAAAGAGAGAGGGAGACAGAATCTGAAACAGGCTCCAGGCTCTGAGCTGTCAGCACAGGGCCCGATGCAGGGCTTGAACTTGTGAACAGAGATCATGACCTGAGCTGAAGTCGGGCGCTCAACCAACTGAGCCACCCAGGCGTCCCAACCAGGGTTTTACTGTATTTAGTTGGTCTTCGTGCTTTAATTCCCTACCCCTGATCCAGTGAACATGCCACTGTCAAATGCATGTTCCCATGCTCGACATTACCACGTAGCACCCAGAATGTAGGCCTCTTGATCTGACTCCTGGCCCTTGTTCTGGTCCCAGATGGCTTCCTGGCTCTGTCTCCCAATTTGTTTACCTGGGACTCCGAACTTTTGCCAACCAGAACACTCTGTGTCTCAATATGCCGTTCTTTAATATGTATACAGTTTTTACTTGTCCTTCAAAGTCCTGCTTGGATGTCACTTCCTCCAGGAAGCCCTTGTTGATTTCTCAGTCAGAAGTAATTTCTCCCACTTCATTCCTAAGTTCCCTCAGGATGTTTTTCTTGCCTCATTTGATTTCATATTATAGTTATGTGGGAAACTTTCCTGCAAGACTAACAAGTTTTTTTTCCAGAGGCCCAACATGTAGGGACTCATATGTTGGAGGCAATTAATACTTGTTAAATGAAGAGAGAATTTTCATCTCCTGTCTACTTTGTACAGTCACGATGGTAAATGGAAAACTCTGAAAAGCAAAACAAAAATGTTTATACTAAAGCATTCTAGATCACTTTTAATATTTCAGAATTGACATATAAGGATGAAAGAAACTATCCCAATATGCACTGGTGGTGTGGGGTTAGAATTCCATGTTAACCATGTAAATAGGAACTCACGGGAAAAAAATACCAAACTGAACTCATTTACACGTGTAATTACCCACCTGTGATCATTCTGCGTTATCTATTTCCTCGTTCTCCTCCCACATCAAGGTAAAAAGTACTAACCAACTACAATGAATTCTTGGCATTAGGTGTGCGTGCACATGCAACCCTGTGGCTTGAAACAAGGTGCAGCATCGCCGCGGGCCTCACGCGCCACAGTGTGGGTGAGAAGCCTAGCAGATAGACG